CTGTCAGTGGTTGAAAGAGCTCCCAAGTGTAATTCTCTTTTTCACATTCATCCATTGTATGTTGCCGATCGCACGTTGTGATTGATGGCGTTGACGCGCAGTCTCTCTTTTCTACTACTTGTGTAACGGATTTGCACGAATTCATGGTACTTTGTACCAGAGGTGTTACACACCTGAGGGTTCGCTTCTGTGAAGGTGATATAGAATATCTTATCGGTTTGTAGGGGCTGACGAGTGTCAGCCATTAGATACGAAAGATCTTTGAGTAGGATTAAGATATTCTATAGGCTTTAACAAAAATAAAATCAGTTCCCATTTTGATCTGAAAGACACGTGGCTTGCGAGCCGTCTTGATCGTTGATCTCTGATCACTAAGAGTTAGCGACACCTCCTTGAGGTAGCTACTCTTGAGCACTAAGTGCTGTCGATTCACTGAACCGTTAGGTCCCCTGGAACAGGGATCTGAAGCTATAAAGCTTGTTGACTCGTAAAGTCGTTAGTTCTTTAGAACTAAGTTGCTCGTAGAGCGTTAAGTCTTTCTCTGACTTAAGGAGCTGTGTAGCTCCGCTACACTTGGTAGCACTTGTAGTCAATCTACGCCTGAGTCGTTAAGACTGATCCTCTGTAAGGATGGAAAATATCACTCCCCTATCTGAGGCCCAAAAGGTCGCGCTTGATAAGCTGACCGCATCTTTGGGTCCAGAGTACGTGGAGTTCCTTGTTTCACAAGGTCCTGAAGTGCTTAATGCACGTGTTGAAAGCTTCATGCAGTATGAAGCGACCCTTTTAGGGCAGGTCCAAGACCAAACAGCGTCGGCTATGCCTACACGCTACGTGTCTGTACCAGACGAAGAGGCTAAGCCTTGTCCACTTAGAGTGGAAGTAAAAAACTACTCCGGTAAGGAGGGCGAGAACCTCATCCTCTGGATGCGTGAGATCGAGATGGCCATGAGATCAGGTCTGATCACGCTTGACCATCAACAGGTCTCGCTCGCTATCTCGAAGCTCGATGGTAGAGCTAGAGAATGGGCCTTGACGTGTAGCACGTCGGTGGACATAGCGTTTCCCACTTGGGAGTCTCTCAAGTTACAATTGGTACAGGTGTTTTCTCCACCTAACCAGGCTTACCGCGTGCGCTCACGCTTTCTTTCTACCCGCCAGGGTAAGAATGAATTATCGGACTATGTCCAAGAGCTGCGAACGCTCATGGCTGCAATGCAGTCTGGCCCTTTGCCTGAAGCAGTCCATGTGACTATCTTCATGGAAGGTCTACGTACTGGCATTGTCAGAACCGAAGTTTTTCGGGTTCACCCCTCTACGTTTGAAGAGGCTGTGAGAATTGCTCTTAATGCTGAGCATAACTTCAAGTCGGCTAGACTTGGTTGGAACGGGTACAATCCTTGCTCTGTGAGAGCAAACTATTCAGGAACCACTGCCTATAATAGGCCGGAACCGATGGATCTCAGCTATGCTGAAGATGGAGGTGAAGCTGAGCTTCAAGCTGCTGAGCAGAAACACGTTGTAAGACGATGCTTTACGTGCGGAAGCACTAAACACTTGCGGCCTGTTTGCCCTTTGCGTAATCAACGCCAGACTACGAGCCAACACTCGAGCCCGAGTCAGAAGTCTGGCATGGCACGGGGAAATGCCGACACCCAGTAGGCGCGGGGCGCCCTACTGGGGAAGAACTATGTTCTGTTACACCTTTAGAAGGTAAAGGAATGCAGGGCTTAGCTTCAAAGAGTACCATACCTACGGGTATGGTGCGTGGATACAAGTCTGGCTTGTTGGTCGCCGAGGCGAAAAAAGTAAGGGCTTCGAGAAGCCTTGGTCGATATTGATCGATTCTGGAGCGTCTTGCAATTATGCTCGACGCCGTTCCCTTGAGGGAAGCCAGCGTTATGCTGAGGCGCTTACAGCGCACGAGGGTGATTCTATCACGGTTCGTTTAGCGACTGGAAGTCGCCTAACGGTGCCTAAAGTTCCATTGAACTTAGGTATAAAGTTTTTAGACTTTGACAGTATTGAGCGCTGTCTTGTCCTAGATTTGGACTCGAGATATGATCTCATCCTACGTATGGCTTGGCTTGAGCGCCATGAGCCATGGATTGATTGGAGGCCTAAGACCTTAGGCGATACGCGCAATGTTCCTAGCGAAGCTTTGGAGAGTCATGAACCCACCTTTGCTAGGCAGCAGAAGCGCTATTGGCGCGAGCCTTTGACAGAAGATGTCAGTGTGCTGGATATTGGAATGTCTGGGTTATCTAACTATAATGTTAAAGACATAAGTTTCGAGCCTAGCTCGTCTAAAACTAGTGAAACGGCACGTACTCCGTTGAGTGGTACTCGTTGTGATAATGAGTCACTGCATGCTGAAAGCATGGTTGGCCTAGGGCCGAGTGATCAAGGACGGGATTCCTTTGATGTGTGTATAGTGGCACGTGAAATTACACCGAGTGCGGTCAGCCGTGAGAGCACCGCACCGAATGTCGGTAATGACATTTTTGGCCATATGCCATTTAGTGTGGGCGGCCGTGAGGGCACCACGCTTAACGCCGGTAATGGCGTTGTTGGCGATTCGCCATATGGTGTGGGCGGCCGTGAGGGCACCACACCTAATGTCAGTAATGATATTGTTGGCGATACGCCGTATAGAGTGGACGGCCGTGAGGGGACCACACCTAATGTCGGTCAAGACAAAAGCTCTCGTGTAGAGCGTACTATGGTTGGTAGTAACCATGGGGACAATATTGTCCCGACCCCTAAGGGGAGTAAGGTCTCGAAGAGACAATCGAGACGCCGAGTAGCAGCTGTAAAGCGCCAGGCGTCCTCACAGTCACATAGTGAGATTAGCAATACACTATATACACTTGTTAATGGAGTGACTGGTCAGGTTAATGGCGATGTGAGCCTCGAAACCCTTCCATCTGTGGACGCTCTGTGTGAGCTAGACGAAATGTCTGATGGCGAATTTAGCCAGGCCTTGAAGGCAGGAGAGTTATCCGAGTTAGCAATCATTAGACCTGATACTGGCTTAAATTCTTCCTCGTTAATGGATGAGTCTGTCCTAGAGGATACAAAGGCGGCACTTAGTGCACGAAGTGGATCTTCGATCCTTAAAGATCCTTTGGATCCGTTCTATCCTTTAGTCAAGGAATATCAAGATGTGGTGTGTCACAACCCACCTTCTGCCTTACCTCCCGATAGAGGTGTACGTCATGAGATTGACTTGGTTTTAGGAACCAAATATTGTGTGACGCGACAGTGGCCGCTGCCACGAGAACAATGTGACCGTCATTGACGAGTTCTTTCGTGCAAAGCACGCGGCTGGCATGGTGCGTGAGAGTAAGTCTCCTCACTCTACGCCCACGTTTTGTGTGAAAAAGCCTAATGGGAAGTGGCGAATAGTGCATGCTTACAATAAGCTGAATGCAGCCACTATCCCGGCTCAAACATCGTTTCCTCGCAAGTATGTTCTTCAGAACAATATGGTGGGATGTACAATGTACAGTGCCCTCGACTTAGTCGATGGATATTACCAACTGCTCATGCGAGCAAGTGATATCCCGCTGACAGCGGTCAGCACTCCGAGCGGTATGCTTTGTGAGTGGCTCGTTATGCCACAAGGGCTATCTAAAGCCCCGGCTACATTTAACCGGTTGGTAACGCAACTATTCAGACCTCATCGAGGCTATGCACAAACGTACTTTGATGACATTTTTGTCCATAGTCGTGCAATGAATGGGCGATCAGATGTGGACAATCACATCGATCATTTACGAGCGGTGCTCGGGTGTATGCGGATGAATAAGCTGTATGCGAACGCATCGAAGTGTATCTTTGGTGCAGGAGAGATTCCCTTTCTAGGGTGCTTCTTTGGGAAGCGAGGCCTTCGAGCGGATCCCGCTAAGGTAAAAGCCATAGTCGATTGGCCAGTCCCCAAGACCCAAAAGGACTTGCGTAAGTGGCTTGGCCTTGCCAATTACTAACATAAGTACAGTGCAAATTACGCAGATATGGCTCGGCCATTGTCCAATCTCCTTAAAAAGGATGTGGCTTGGTGTTGGGGTAACACCGAACATAAGGCTTTTAGAGCAGTTAAGGAGAGTCTCCTTCAGGCGCCAATTTTGGCTTTGCCTGATTCTGGTCGGCCTTTCAGTGTCGTCTGTGACGCATCGGACTTTGCCATTGGCAGTGCTCTGTTACAAACAGATGTCGACGGACGCGAACGCGTCATCGCGTTTGAGTCTCGCCAGCTGAAAGCTGCAGAGAAGAACTATCCAGTTCATGACAAGGAGCTACTTGCGATGAAGTATGCCCTTGTTAAGTTCAGGGTACACCTGTTGGGCTCAAAGCCATTTGTGATCTATACCGATCATGCGTCATTGCGCACAGCGACACAGTCGCCTCATCTCTCGCAGAGAATGGCTCGTTGGCTCTCCTTTTTCGCGGAGTATAACTTCAAGGTGAAGTATAAGCCGGGAAAACAGAATGATTTGGCTGACGCGTTATCGCGTAGACCTGACTATGAGCTTGCTCATGTTACGACCCTGTCGTCGTCAGTCCCTGACTTAATTCGTGCGGCATATGCCAAGGACGATCAGTGTGTAGCTTTGCTACGTGCTCTTGGGAGCGATGAGTTTAAAGACTCGGACATAGAATTGTCGGCACGTTTACGTGCGAGGCTACATCGATATTCCATCAATAATGGCCTGTTGTGCTATCGCACGGATATTGAGGACAACCCTCGTATCGTAGTACCTTATGATGAGGAATTAAAGTATCGGATCCTCTATGAGGCACATGATACTGCTTTAAGTGGTCATATAGGTCGTGAAAAGCCCTACAGCTCGGTGAGCCAAAGTTATTGGTGGCCCAAACTTTATAAGTGGGTGCGCACCTATGTGCGTACGTGCAAAACGTGTCAACGGGTAAAACCCTCGGCACATGCGGCGGCGCCGCTGGCTAGTTTGCCGGTACCCAGTGGTTGTTGGGAGTCCATGAGCGTGGATTTTGTGTTTGGCCCACCGAAAGATTCGGAAGGCAACACTGGTATTGTGGTCTTTGTTGACCGATTGAGCAAGATGGCTCACTTAGCGGCTGTGCCGGATAGCATTGATGCGGAAGGTACAGCAAAGCTGTTTATCGACCGTGTCTTTCGCCAACATGGCTTGCCTGTGGCAATTATCTCTGATAGAGACCCCCGCTTCACTGGGAAGTTTTGACAGTCTATCTTCAAGGTGCTTGGCACTCGGTTGGACATGTCCACAGCGGATCATCCGCAGACCGACGGTCAAACTGAGCGTGTAAACCGCGTCATCAACGACATTTTGCGCAGTGTTTGCGCTGATACGCCTAGGCGTTAGAGCTCAAGGCTCCCTGTTGTGGTTTGCGTTGAATAACGCTGTTCATGCCTCAACAGGCTTTACTCCGCTCTATATAAACGGTCTCACTCACCCTCGCGTTCCGTTAACGCTATCACTACGTGAAACAGGGCTTGGTGGGGGAGAGGTTGCCGATCGGCTTGCTGATATCAGCCCTTCTACTGTTCAAAAACAGGTAAGCGAGTTTCTCGCAACGCGATTAAATGTCTTAAGACATGTGCGTGACGCAATGGCTGATAGCCAAGATACCCAAAAACAACAAGCTGATGCCAAAGGCAGAAATTGTATTGAACGTTATGAGGTCGGAGACCAAGTACTGCTCAATGCTAAAAATCTACCTGCAAATGTAGTGTCTGCTGTCTTTAAGACAAAGTTGCGCCCACGCTTTATTGGACCGTTTACGGTCACGGCCAAGAAGGGACTTGCGTATACGCTAAACCTCCCGCGCAAATTGCGCACACATCCAGTGCTCTACGTAGGCTTACTTAAGCCGTACCGGGATCCTTCCCATGTGAACTTGGAGGCGCTTGCGCCGACGACAAGGGCACTGCCCCGGATTGCTGTAGACGAATCAGCAAGTCCAACTGAGCCTCGCTCCGAGTTTGAGCTTGCTCCATCGCCTGAAGGCGGCTTTGCATCGCATCCAGCATGCACTGGGACTTACCCAAGGCCTCTTGAAGACCCTTCACTTCGAGAACCAATTTCTCGTGGGCCTCCACCGGTACACCGGCCGCCACCGACTTTGCTCGATGAGCATGGGTGTCGTCAATTCCATGTCGAGAGACTACTGAAACGACGTCGTCGTCAGGGCCAATACCAGTATCTGGTAAAGTGGCGTGGGTACCCTGAGTCTGAAAACTCATGGGAATTTGAGGTACCCCTTCGGCAAGACTGCCCATATGCTTTGGAGGCTTTTGAGAATCGTGGCCATGGTCATCTCGAGGCCGAGGCCGTTCACCACCACTAGTGGTGCGGGTTGGCGGGTTGTTGGTCACAGACTGACCAGCACTCGCGGCTACCTTAGTAGCCGAAGCATAGCGCGTGCGCGTGCGCTTGCGCAATTTGCCTCTGGCCTTAAGCTTGGCATAATCATACCGAAGCTTGCGTTCGAGACGCACATCCGCCGCATGGGCACTAGCCCTTAGAGCAAAATGTTGCTGAGGCGACGCACATAGTGCACCCAGTGAACAAAGGCATCGTCTTCTTCACTCGCTGTTTCGCCTGCGAGCAGGAGAATGGGTATACCCTTCATCGGTGGAACTGGTGCACCACGTGCTTGCATGTCAAGGCGTGCCTTGTATTGACTTTGAGTCGTTAGGTGCGGCTCCAGGTACCTCTCACGAAGTGCCTGGCAGCTCACCACCTCCTCAGGAGTCTTAGGCCCATGGCCAATGACCCACGTTGCCAAAGTTTGGCCGGCCGCTTGACGCAGACGTTCCTCCACACTGGGTGGGGTGAACACATAATCACGCTGGCGTTCAAGGGTTGCAGTCATCTGTGCATAACGCTGAGCGTTTTCTTCTCTTTGAACAAGCAATTGTTGTTGCTCATCGAGCGGGTTCGCGATGATAGTCTCATCAGAACCAGATGCTGCATGCTGCGCTGGCGGCGCGCTCGCACCTCCACGTTCAGCGAACGGATTTGAAGTGTTCGAAAGTTGTGCCTCAGGCATCAGTGAGTCGGACGTTGTCCCTGTGTCACCGCGGACACTGGTATCGCTACCATAGTCCACCTCTTCCTCTATTCCGAGGTAGTCACACATAGACTTTGACTCGTTTGGTGATGAGGACATCGTGCTGGAGCGTACGTTACCGTGAGGTTCACCGTACGCGCACTGTTCTCGCTTAGAACACGAGTTCGATTGACGTTTTGGCAAACGTCAGTCTGGTGGGGGAGGGTGTAACGGGGTTGCACGAATTCATGGTACTTTGTACCAGAGGTGTTACACACCTGAGGGTTCGCTTCTGTGAAGGTGATATAGAATATCTTATCGGTTTGTAGGGGCTGACGAGTGTCAGCCATTAGATACGAAAGATCTTTGAGTAGGATTAAGATATTCTATAGGCTTTAACAAAAATAAAATCAGTTCCCATTTTGATCTGAAAGACACGTGGCTTGCGAGCCGTCTTGATCGTTGATCTCTGATCACTTAGAGTTAGCGACACCTCCTTGAGGTAGCTACTCTTGAGCACTAAGTGCTGTCGATTCACTGAATCGTTAGGTCCCCTGGAACAGGGATCTGAAGCTATAAAGCTTGTTGACTCGTAAAGTCGTTAGTTCTTTAGAACTAAGTTGCTCGTAGAGCGTTAAGTCTTCCTCTGACTTAAGGAGCTGTGTAGCTCCGCTACAACTTGTCTTATAACACATCAAAAAATATTAACGGACATCTTTGACATATGACTCATTAGCAACTTCGTCTTTAAATACACAGCAAAATACCATTCTTTAGCCACCAGCAACCCTGGATGGGCGCGGATGATTTTAGAACCTATTTCAGTTCTCCGAGCTGAATTACTTTAGTCAAATAGCAAGTCCAAGATTGATCGCCTATCTTATCGTTTGACTGAAAGACTCAACGTGTGAAACACTGATGCGTTGGCTCACAAAACCCACTAAAAGGTATCCAGCGTCTAAACTATATTCGTAGAATAATTCCACGCGACCAGCATTTAGATGTTTCAACCAACAATAGGTTCGCGTTGTTGCGATTGCCAGACACCATGTTTCATTAACCTGGAGTTACTTACCATACCTACGGAACCAAAGCTAGGAGATATGGAAAGCTTGAATCAAAGAGAGCATGGCTCGTTCTGTCTAACAATGATCTGCTAAGGTGTGGTAAACGGTTTCTTGGGAAAAAGTGCAGCAACCATGGTCCACGTCGATGGGACAGACCACATGTTGTGGTGTAGGAAGATTTCATCACGGTAGCTTTGCCTACATATATTAGGCGGCAACTGTTGACCCGATTCCTCGACTCGAGTAGCCTCTGCTGCTCGGTACATGACGATCTCCATCGAGACGTCACTTTCTGGTACGAATTTACGCTTCGTAGAAGAGAGCACGGTACAGCCCGAAACCCGCTGACTTGCACTTTTGGGATGTCATTCCTGCCTGTATCAATGAACAAACCTTGATGCCTCGGACATAGCAAGTTTGCTATCACAAACCAAGGTGAACTATTCAGTAGGCTGCCAATAATCAGATAGTCTAGCTCGGTAATCGTACCTCCATATACCTCGCCTAAAAAAAGAAACGTTGACCCATTTCGCACGGCGAATCTAGCCTTGACAGATAGTGCCCAGCGATATTTCCTCGGCGATTATTAATCTGCGAAGGGAGGTCAATGGACGCCTTGTGGGAAGTAGTATGCGCAGTAGAAAGACGATTAGATTCTGTATTCACATTTTATGTCTTCTCTTCTACCTGACACTTTTCCAAAGCCATCCACACCACCCATTTTGCTACGCAGCCGCTCTGCCTTCCTATCTAAACGAATGGCACTAATCGACACATCGCGCCGAATCTCCAATCCACCAAGGTAACAAATCCCTTGCTTTCCTACACTCCTCCTCGAGTGCGTTTTCGTTTTCGTCTCTTCCTTCTTTTCTCTCTTCCTCTCTTCTCTTCCTCTCTCTTCCTCTCCGATCCCTTTTGAACGTTGCAGACGCCCTTGTCCTTCATCTCCTCCATACTCGATCTCCTTCATCCTGAAGCTCCTCACGCGTGCCTCCACCACACTCATACCCTGACACAGCCATCTCGCGCATCCAGCTCTTCATACGCATCACGCTCTTACTCGAGCCGCATCAGGCTACGCAGCGCCGCGAGCTTGTTTGCATCGACGGCCTTCGTCATCAGATCCGCTATCATCAGTTCGGATCGAACGTGCTGCGCCGTGATGATCCCACGACGAGCGAGGTCGCGCAGATACTTGTTCCGCACGTCGATGTGCTTGGCCTTGATCGACGAGGCTTCGCCTTCGATCTGACAGATGGCTGCCTGGTTGTCCACGTGCATCAGCATAGGGACAACCGGCGCCATGCCCACTTCTCCGAGCATCTGGTGCAAGCAAATGAGCTCGCGCGCAACCTCCGACGCCGCCACAAATTCGGCTTCCGTCGTCGAGAGACTCACTCCGCCCTGTTTCTTCGCGGTCCATGACACCGCCATCCCATTTAGAAGCACGACGCCTCCAGTTAGTGACTTCCGGTCCGCTTTGTCAGCCGCGAAGTCGGCATCGCTATAGGCTTCGAGACGCAGCGCGTCTCGGCTCGTTCGCTCTGGCGCCATCTCGAGCTTGAGCATCGCTGTCCCCTTTAGGTACCGAGCAACACGCTTGGCGAGCTTCCAGTCGAGTACCCGCGGCGCATGTGTCTGCCTAGTTGCTTTATGCACTGCAAAGGCAATGTCAGGCCTTGAGCACCGTGCGACCCACAGCAGGCTCCCGACGAGGGACTGGAACGCGTTGATGGTTGCACCACCGCCCGTGCTCGTCGTTCCAAGAAGCGCGGCGTCGTCGCCTACGACCTCGTAGCAGTCACCTCCAATCGGCGTCTTCGTCGGATTCGCATCGCACATCCCATGAGCACGCAGTAGCTCCTTGATGGCCTCCTCCTGGTCGATGCGGTACGCGCCGTCGCTCCCGAGTTCCACTCGCATTCCCAGGAACTTGTGGACATGGCCAAGATCCTTGATTGACAGCGACGCCAGGCTCGCGAAGAAGCTCTCGACTGCCGCGACGCTCGTTCCCGTCGCCAGCAAATCATCGACGTAGACGCCAACTACGACCAGCTCTTCGCCGTCGCGCTTGTGGTACAGACACATGTCTGACACGCAGCGCACGTACCCCGCATCGCTGAGTCGCGCATGGAGCAACTGGCTCCAGAGGCGCCCGGCTTGCTTCAGCCCGTAAAGGCTTCTCCGCAGCTCCAAGACGACCTCGCCTGGATGCATAGCGCCAACATTGCGCAGAGTGCTCTCTGACACAGTCATACCGCGTGGCACCTGCAAGCAGATGTCGAGATGTGCTTCCTTCTCGGCACGCACGTACGCGTTCGGGATGTCTCCATGCTTGGCCGGCACGCCCCAGGTTGCTGCGAGCGCCAGCACTACCTTTGCCGTCGAGATGTCCATCACTGCGGCAAAGGTCAGGTTGTAATCGACGCCGAGCACTTTCTCATTGCCACATGCGACAAGCCTCGCCTTATATCGCTCGAGCTCTCCATCGGCCCCTGTCCTGGTCTTGAAGACCCACTTGGAGTGAAGAGCGTTCACGCCCGGGCTACGCTTCGTCACGCGCCACACATCGTTGCTCTCCAGAGCGGCGGTCTCTTCTTGCATCGCCGTCTGCCACTCCGCGCGCTTAGAGCTCCGCATGGCCTCGCCATAGTTGCATGGGTCGCGCTCGAAGGCTGCGTTGACCACCTTGTCGCTTGCAGATCTCTCCTCCTGGCGCGCAACTGCTTGCTTGCGCTTTGATGCGCTTCGTGTACCGTGCGCTTGTCGTGACCACGGCTTCTTACTCTTCTCGTGAGCACCGCGATCATCTTGCGCTCGTATATTGTCATCACGGGTCGCTACTACAGCCTCTCCATCGGCTCGATCGCCAACTTCCAGCGCACGCTGCAGTTGTGCGTTCTGCGCATCCGAGAGCGTGGAGATATTCTTCACATGTTGTGTTACAACCACCTTGTTCTCTCGCTGGAGAAGAACCTTGTACCCCTTTGTCTCCTCGCTGACGCCCACGATGATGCCAGTCTGAGAGCGCCGCTGTAGCGAGCTCTTGCGCGGGTCCCGGTAGACGCTACACGACGACCCAAAGACGACGATGCTGCGCAGATCCGGCGACTTACCCGTCAGCACCTCGATAGGCGACGCTCTCTTTGCATTGGCTCGCGTCGGGCTGCGGTTCAAGATGTGGACGGCGTACTGCACCGCGTCGCCCTAGAACTGCAACGGTAGCGCGCTCGCGAACATCATGCTGCGTGCGAGGTTTAGCACCGTGCGGTGCATCCTCTCCGACTTGCCATTCGATGCCTGGTTGCGAGCTTCCGACACTTGGCGTGCGACACCCGTGCGTTTACAGAACAAGTCGACGTTTGCATACTCGCCTTCTCCGTCCGTCCGCAGAACGTGGACCTTGAAGCCAAAGAGCTTCTCAAAGTGGACGAGGAAGGCTTCAAACTGCTTCGCCGCCGCGTCTTTCGTGCGCGCAAGGAGTACTCGACAATAGTTCGATTTATGGTCGATAAAGTTCACCATATATCGATTGCCGAGGCGATCCTGCGGCGTCATGGGACCCTTAAGGTCCGAGCAGATGACGCCGTTGATCCTGTCGATTGGCGAGTTGGTGCCGCTGTCTTGTTGTGACTGCGTGTTGCTCGTCTGTTTGCCCTCGAGGCATGATACGCATGCCATGCGCTTGTTGCTGGTCAATCGAATACCCGATGACGGATCGCGCGCCATACGCTCGATCGTATCGAACGCGAGGTGGCCAAGTCTCTGGTGCCAGTGCAGCAGCGAGGCTTCGTGCATGTCATCCGCATCACCATCCATCGCGCGCGCTTCGAGCGCAGCCACGATCGCATCTCCAGCTCTGTGCCTCTCGCGTGTCGCTGTCGTCTTAACGTATAACACGTTACTGTCAATCGCTACGTCGAACACGACTGTACCGTCGCTGCGCCGCGCTAGCGCTCGTTTGTTGCCATCGTACACGAGGGCAAACCCTTTTCTCTCCAGCTTCCCGTACGAGACGATGTTCTTCGCCAGACGTGGAGCAAGATAGACTTTTGTCAGAGTCACAGTCACCTTCAAACCGCGCGCGAGGACCTCAAGGCGCACACTCCCGACACGCGTCAGCCGCAGTGACTCCCCATCTGCCATGGCGATCTCGTAGACGCAGGCGGTCGAGTCGATCAGCAGCGACTCATCGTTCACGAGGTGCCTGCTCGCGCCACTGTCAAGTATCCAGTCGCCTCGATCGATGCCAATTGCATCATTTGCATCTAGCACGAATTCGCCCGCGTTGTTCGCAGCTCGCACTTTATTCGCACGAACCGCTTTGCCTCGCGATTTCTTTTTCTTCTTGCTTTTGGCTTCTTTTGTGCGAGCCGCTGACGCTTTCTCCATGAGCGCAAGTACCATATCGCCGCTGACACTCGTGTTTGTCGTCTCATCATCAAACACAACTCTTGCCTTGCATTCGGAAACGACGTGCCCCGTCCTCCCGCATCGGAAACACGTTCGCGTGTCTTGACGCTTCGTCTCAACATGCGCCGCAACGACCTCGCGACCAACCGCGCCACTGCCGAGCTCGATAGACTGCGCAAAGTGCGCCAACTCCTCAGCGTGGCGCAGGTAGTCGGACCGCGTTGGATCGTACTTAGCGCGCATGACATTCATCAGGTCTGGCGACGTATGATGGACGATGTTGTCGAGCACAAGCGAGTCGGCGCCACCGCGCGCGTCGCTGACAGCCACCATGTAAAGAAAGTGCTCAGCCCAGGTGCGTCTCACTTCTTTCCTTGTCATGAATAGCTTCATGGCCTGACTCGCCGTGATGGTCGTCTTGAACGTTAGGTGCAGCTGCTCCATGACGTGCTCGAGTCTTGGCTGCTGCACCCACCAAGTGTCGACCTGTTTGTGGTAGTAGCGCTCCGCCGTACCGGCCCAGAAATGCCCGAGTAGGTCCACCTTCACGTCCTCCGTCCAGGAGAAACCGCAAGACGCCTCAGCGAGGCTCACAGCGCGCATGAAGGTGCGTCCCCAGTCAAAGAACCCGCTCCCAAGCCCTTTGTAAAGCTCCGTCCCATCGAAATTGCGAATGTTGAGCTTTCTCTGACTAGCGCTCGGCATTCCGTAGTGTCCGATCGCTGGTGGCATAGCTTCTTGACGCGGCGCAACCATGGGCTCGGCCGATCGTTCCGGCATGCGATGCTGGGCTGACGGCTCTCCACGCGGCGGTGCGAGAGAGGCGAACATCGACTCACCGTTTTCTGGCCAGCGCTCCCGCGTGCGATGTGCTGCTGATTTCTCCTCCAGCGACTTAAGCGCGTCGATGGTCATGGGGCGTCCACGCATGTTCGCTCCAAGCTTGGATGCAAACATGCCGCTCTCGACATCTCCAAGCATCCTCTCATCTTCGTCCCGGACGCGCTGCGAAGACTCGAGCTTCGACAGGCGGTCGGTCACTGCGGCGAGGGCCGCGAGGATCTTGTCGTCGGTTGCCTCGCTCCTTTCGCGAGCGGGCGGTACTTCGACGACTCCCGGCGTGTCCCCCGATGAGGGCACACGCGCTGGCGAGACACGCCCTGGCGCAGCTCGCGCGACACCTCCTGGTATCTTGGGGGTCGCTTCAGTTTCTCTAGCCATTGGGCTCATAACCTGTGGGAAGTAGTATGCGCAGTAGAAAGACGATTAAATTCTGTATTCACATTTTATGTCTTCTCTTCTACCTGACACTTTTCCAAAGCCATCCACACCACCCATTTTGCTACGCAGCCGCTCTGCCTTCCTATCTAAACGAATGACGCTAATCGACACATCGCGCCGAATCTCCAATCCACCAAGGCAACAAATCCCTTGCTTTCCTACACGCCTGCATTCCCAAACAGCTAGAACTCGGTTCTTGCTGTTCAAACTACTCACAAGGCGCATAAGGATATGTGACTACATTCCTTCCGCTACGGCGACTGTCCCTCATCGGCAAAAAAACACCTTTGATGACGGTTAAATGACCACCGTCATATTACATTCTTGCCACAAATCGTAGTACTGACCCGTGGTTTACACTAAACAATAGCAGAAAGAAGGGCTCGGATGGATCTAAGTAAACTGTCGGATCTCATAATTGCAGCTATCGTCGCAATCCTTTGCTACTGCGGTCTCGAACCGTTTTCTTGAGGCACTCAGAGTGTCTTTTCGACTTGTCGATGAGTCGTTTAATCTTCCACGATGAGATCCTTCTTAAAGAAGGTCGACAGAGTATGCATAAATTACACGTTGTTTACAAAGCATAGCTCTCTTCCGCAACTCTATCACACGCCGTTGCTTTCGTTAACTCTCCTTGACATTGTCCTACTCCGCTGTCGTCAATTTCCGATGACATCTCTCCTACTCGTCCAAACGAGTGCTCTAGCACTTTTTGCTCACTTTAACCATCCCTAAATCCTTTTTTAGCAGCAGCACATGACACCCCGTTTCCTAGAAGTGTCAGCATTCGCTTATCGCACCTACTGATCTAACAAAAAGCTCAACAACTTCCAAGGAATGTCAAACGTATCGCGAAAACATTCTCACCTGTGTACGTAGCCAGAAATACCATTCCCACCAAAAGTAGACTTCCATTTCATTTAGATAGCATGTATACCTACAGACGAATAAGCGCAAATGTAGGACACAGATTAAGAAGCTTGGAAGCTGCCTGTGACCGTCTCCAACTGTCCCCTACTGCATCATGACACTCTGGCATCAAGTACCTCTTTACCAACGTACCTATTCGCACATTTTAGTACCACATCATCGAGATTCCGGCCAAGACCAACTATCCAATGCACATTTTCTGTGCCGATAATACTAGGGAGCTTGATCACTCACGTTGTGTACGAGCTCGTTCATCCAGCAGCTCGTACTGCTTTAGCCTTGCCATTGTCTTTTGATGCACTTGTTGCTGGATCTTTTCCACTTCCGAACTCGCCTCTGATCGTTTGAATAGCGCATCGCTCAGTTCTTGTTGTTTCGCCCGTTTGTAAGCCGCTAAGTCGTGATCGTTTAAAGCTGCCAATGCAACCACGTCCTTGCTGACTTCTCCATCATTTGTCGTGAGTAAAACAACGTCATCGCCATCGATTCCCACTCGAAGTGCATCCAGGTTCTGCCAGCACATGATCAGATCAAAAGCGTAACCAAGCAGCCTGCCATAAGAACTTGCTAGGAGAAAGTAAACAGTCTCTCCTTGTACACGTAAACGCACACTCAGAGGCTTGCGCGATGATGTCGGGCCTCGTAGACAAACTCCCGTCTCGGGATCGAAAAACGCTGCGTGAGCTTTGCAGAAGATAAAGCCTTCACAGAAAAAGTCGCTGTCGTCAAAGTCGAGTTCCAACAGCGCGTGTGGACACCTATCAACGACCGTAGTATGCAAAACATCAGCAGATAACAACCGCTTTGAGTCCTATCACGAGACCACGGCTACAGCTAGAAGACGGACCAAACTGATTAACCTGTTAAGGAAAGAGCGCGGCTGTTGCGTCTTTTCATTCCAAAACACAAAACCAGTGATCAGCGCATCTCGACGTCGAGGACTTTTTGTCAACGTCGACTTTGCGTCGATCCGTTGTGGGGTTGACGATAGCTTTGGCTCGGGAACATGCACTGGAAATTTCAGTCCTTGGCCTTTAAGGTCCTTGAGCTCTTGAACCGAGCACAAGACGCGACGACCTGTTGAGAAACGTCGTTGCAAGGAGAACATCCGCTTCATCCTGATGCCGCTTGTGTCGGAGTGAGAAACGTAGCGGGTGCGATTGGCAAAGAAGATCAAGTGGGTCATCGATCAATACGCAGTCGCTAGTGTCCATTCATTTTGTACAGTCTCGATATCATTTGTATGCTGACCATTTATTGCAATAATGTTCGACACAACGGAACAGGGCAACCAACTGTCACTGCAACTATAACTAGTACTACCTCATTTTAATCACGCTAATATTGCTGCCGTGCAGGGAAGGTCTCTATCGACAAGAGGTGACTCACTTTCGTCCGTATCGACCGAGAAAACGGGTGTCGGGACGCGCTGGTGCATCGATATCTGCTGCGCATGGTCAAAGTACTTGCTCACGTGGCTCTTGTACTCGCTCATGGCTCGCTGGATAATGTCTTCCGAGACGGCATCCACCCACGTAAAAGGCGTCTGCTTGACTTGGGATCGACGCTTGGTCAGCTGCGTATACCGCGTGACAAGTTCGTGCAAAGGGTCATCGAAAGCGTCCCAGTTTGCGCTATGTTCATTGCGCACGAGCCCAGGTATTTCAAACAGCCAAGCAGCTTTTGCTCCCATAAGTGCTTCGTCCGACTTGGCTCCGAGCACGAGACGGTTGCCTGGATACGACAAGTAGAGCAATATGTGGTGGTAACAATAGCGCACGTCATGATTCCAGTGCAGGAACAGCCGCTTGAAGTGTGATGCAAAGACTTCCGTCAGCCGCAGTTGCAATGGTCCCGAAAGCCCCGTAAAGTTCTTCAACAGGAAGAGCTCGGTCGCTTTGAGAATCTCAAAGTGCTCGGAATCCAGTAGGCATGAAAACACGTAGCACAGCGTCTCAACGTCGGCACATGCACGTTTCTGCTGCGGTTCAGTGACTGGATGGGAAGAGGAGAGCGGCAATGTCGATGCGGGATCACTTGCGAAAAATGCTGGAAACTCCAGCATCAGCTTCTCCATGGACTGCAAGCACAGAGCAACATGGTGCGGTAACATGTAGTTGGTAGACTGGAGGATCGCTGTCAAATAGTCGTGGATCAACTCCAGGTTCTCGCTCATCATCACCGTCAGTTGCTCCGTGAAGTAAGCAGCAGGAGTATTCACGTGTTCAGCCCCGTCCATCATTGCAAACGAGTCGCGGAGAGACGTGGTATCGACTTCGCTAGCGGAAGCACTTTCCTTGCCAGCTTTGTCCTCTCCAGCGTCCTGCCACTCTGGTTCGCACTGTAGCAGCTCCTTCTGAAACAAGCGCTTTGCAAGTTCCAGAGCTGCACCGTGCAGCACTTCAGAACCAGGGATACACTTCCAGTCGGTGCGTCCCATGACCTGCTGACCCGTGAGCTGCTCCAAGATCTGGGCAAGCATCAACATGCAGCTATCCGAGTCAACCAGAAGCTGCGTCAACATTTGCGTAAAAGGAGCCCAGCGGTCTTCACGGTTCACAGTCTTGAGAAACTCCTGACATTGCGGGTACATGCTCTTCGGCCAGTTGTACGGTGTTCGACGCCGTTTGTCCTCGTACAAAGACCTCCCACGCTCTCGAGAGTCAACAAAGGAACGGGATACCGATCGAGAGCTGCTCCCGGCTGAAAACGGAACTTGGTTGCTCAAGTTGTCCAGGATAAGGCTGCGTAGCTGCGGGACGCGTGTATAACTCGTAGCCACCACTGCAGTCAACAGGTCTTGCTGCAAGTCGAACGGGTTATACCTGGCAGGATTGCTGTTGTTGTCGTCAATGGAGTCAAGACTGCCATGGACGGCTTCAAACGCGTACTGCAACGTCAACTGATGTAGTTCCAAGAACCGATGCACCGAGTCACATAACCTCATCTCCCGGTCTTGTCCTCGCCTGTTGTTGCTTGAACAAGGACGTAACAAAGTCGACGAGAGCGACGTCCGCTTGCCGTGGTTCGAACCACTTGAGGCGTTCCAAGATCGTCGGTGTGAATCAACTCGAGCCGATCGAGGTGATCGCCTTGAAGTGCCACGTCTCGCTTCTTCGTCGTCCAAAGGTTTGTGGTGCTTGCACCCGCCGTGTCCTACTGCTACGAAAAGTGCATCCAGCTCCTGTCTCCGGATCACCAGAGCCAGCAACGTCAACACCGTCTGCTTCAACTGTAACCTCTTGTCCTTTGCTAGAGCACTGGCATCTCTTGCGTGTGCAATTGTGTGCCTCGATATCGGATCCCGAGCATAGCTGTCGTCCTCAGCCAGCACATCCAAGATCCGGAGACAGCACTTCCAGAGCTGCAGCAGCGCTTTCACTGCATTTCCTAAGGGTACTGGCTTAGCTGCTCGTCGACTGATAGAGCTTGCAAACCCGTCCACATCGTCTTCCGTCAGAACCACAAGGAGCTTCTCCAATGTCTTGGTGCTATACTCTCGTCGCCAGCGTAGAATTTTAGCTCTCGAGCTCGCGCTAGAAGCGTCCGGACCTCGATGACTTGCTCGAGCTGGATGACTCGATGACAGCACGACCGTCTGCTCGACGACAGTGCGGAGGTAGCGGAAGAAAGCAGGCGGCATCATGACCGTGTCAGGGATCCCGTCCGGGTCGTGCTTTAGTGGAAACACGACGCGGACGGTCGCGTTTCCCCGGGAATGAGTGGAGCTACTGGACGAGGACGTGGAGCTAGTGGATAAGGCAGTGGCTCGAGAACAAGAAGCGAGGCTGGAGCGATGCGCGTGTTTCGCTGCGTGACTATCACGGTGAAAAGGACGCAGCAGTCGAGCCACGACACGGGAGACGCGACCTTCGTGGGTCATGAGATGCGGTTGAGGAAGGGAGAGGGAATATGTAGAGGGTGTATCTGCGACTTTGGTGGTGGTGGTGGTCGACGCCTCGAGAGTGCAGATTCGAGACTGAAGCAGAGGCGAGGAAGGGGCATGGTCAACAATATCCAGAACCATAACTGCAACAACAGCAACAACAACGAGACGACGACGAAACATATGGACATTTTCGTAAACCAGTTGATAGTGGCACCTGGTACTTGTCCGAGCTGACAACTTCAACTTCTGTACAGTCGAGAGAGAGAGAGAGTGAGTGAGTGAAAGAGAGAGAGGGAGGGGTGTGATGTCTTTTCTTTGTCGACATGTGGGGGAAAAACAGGTCGAGGTGATTACGTATCGGTCGATGGATGTAGAGGTAGGTGGGCGGATGGCTCGTTTGTGACTGCAAGACTATACAGGAGCATTAGTGACCACTTTGTAAATGGGTGATGGGTACAACAGGCTGAACGCCACACTGGACAAGACGTGGAAGGACCTGTCTCTGTGTGCAACGTGCCACTCGACAGCGCGGGGGTTCACGACGTGGTGAAGATAAGACACGGACTTGATGGATCTGACGGCGGCGAGATCGCGTGCTGACTCCATGCCACTTTTATCGGGAAAGACGCTGCCGCGTGACCAAGCAGGCCAGCGGTTGGCTTCTAGAATCGGGCAAAGCAGAGATTTCAGCTTGGCCTTTGTATCGTTCATTCTGACTTACCTACCACATACCCATCAGCGCCGAAGCGGTCACTTGCTATCGTTATGATGTGGGACAAGATCATTCCTTACAATGGCTTCTCTCTCTCGCTCGTCTAGTTCTGGCCACAGCGTCGCCGCTACTGACTTGACGGCAGACGCAGAATCGCCACTTGTCTCAAGATTTCGATCATGCTCTAGTGGGGAAGGACAGAGCTTCCGTTGTTTGGCATTGTCTCCCTACCAAGAAAAAAGAAGCATCTCGATGGGGTGCTAGACGACCCGAAGAATGACCGAAACGGTCGCGTCCTCGTGAGTTCTCCTTCCAATGAGATCGAGCGTTTTCGTTGCTGCTCATACATGAAACCATGCGGCCGCTTTTATACCAATAACGTGTCCAGTCGCATGGGCTCAACTAGCCACTGCGGGTCTGCATTCGGTGGGCGACGAACGCACAGAGAGAAACCGTGACCTTGGCAAGAATCGCAGCTCTTATCACCCTACAACGTTATGCGACTAGGAGCGCCGCAGCCTTTTGCTGCGTCCAGTCGCTGACATTTTCCTGCCACGTAGACACAAATATCAAGCGGTGCAACTCGAGTTGCCACGTCGAATGCGTGTGACAGACGATCCATTCCCTTTGCTGGGACAAGAAACAGGACGTCAGACCGTCTTTTCTCTCGCGCGCGCATCGACGTCGTGATCGCTCGTCTGCTGACACTGGCTCTTTTTCGTTGAAGTCGCTCAGCAAACTATGCCGTAGCAGAGGTTGTCGCGTCTCACGTAGCCAATCAACTGCAGCCAGTCAGTCAGTCCATCCATTATGTCGGCTATTGTTGATGCGGTCTTTGCCTCGTACGACGTCAAGAACGCGACGCGGTGGCGGGAAGAAGACCGACGGCATCGAGAGCAGGAGAAACAGTGGCGAGAAGACGCGATTCGACGCGAGACCGAGTGGCGCTGCGCTGACTTGGAGCGGGAACGGCGCGTGGCGAAATTAGAGTCGGAGAAACGGCTTTTAAGCGCGCGACTGCAGCAGCTCCAGACGATTTCGCAGCTCTCGGCCATGCTCTCGTTCTTCTCGATGCGGTTCTTGCAGGACATTCGGACGTTGCGAATCGACACGAGTCCCGTGCTCGTGATTCTGTACGGGACCATCAGCGTCCTCGAGTTCCTGTGCATGCTGCTCTGCACGTTGACGTGCACGTTGCTGCTGCTGGCAGTCACGAGGTTCGTGGCCCATACTCTAGAAGGCGAAGTGGGTCGACTCTCGGACGCCGAGCTGGACACGGTGTCGCCGTTTACGAACTGGTGGGTCACCAAGTGCGAGCACGAGTGGCTGCTCGCTTTTCACTTGTTTCGCACCGCGGCATCCTTCTTCTTGGTAGCAATTGCCTTGAGCAGCTGGATCGTGTTTGCAAGGTCCAGGATTGCAGCGATCGTTGTCTCGATGATGTGCCTGTGTGGGTTGCTGTACTACAACTTTCGATTTGCAAGTAGGTGGCGATACATTGTCCAGCCAACGACTGGTCACAGGAGACGGAGTATCTCTTTGCCATGACAAGTAACGAGTGCGTAAGGCTCGAGTGCTTTGAGTGACAAGAGGGTGAGAACGCATAGCACGTGTTGCATGTTAGTGAGTTTTCGATGCGGGTTTGTGGACGGTCAGTTCATGAGCGTATCTTCAAGAGATCAGCACGTCTTGCTTATGCGTTCTGGTCGAGCTGCCGCGGTTTGTGGCCGCAGTTGTGAGCACGAGCCCCGCAACTTCGGGCGAGGAATAGCGTGCTACCAAAGAGTGAACCCGCTGTGATCGAGCAGTCTGCAATGGGACCCGTGACCACCACGGGGTGCAGCGAATGCCGCAGTGTGTAGAACGCAAAGCCACCTTGGCGGCCTGTGAGCGATGCGAACGCGTGCTTTGGGGACAAGGCTTCGACTCGGACGGAGATTGTTCCCGTGCTGGCATTGATGTACGTCATTTGGCGCAACTGCAGTGCCTGTTTTGGGTCTGCTGCTGTCCTGGCGATCTGCTGTTTCAACGGCTCGCTCGCCTCAAGCAAATAGCTCAAGAGGTAGTCGTAACTCCAGGTACCGACTTCGTCTTGACTACCTGCGACTGTAGCGCTCGCTTCCCATGGACTCTTGATATCTACGTCGGTCATCTCGATGTCGTAGCCCATCTCTCGAGCAATCATGATTGCCTTCTTGGCGCTGCGCACGCCCATCACGTCGTCGATGATATCACGCACGCTGAACTCGTTCTTGTACTGGGCTATGACGTCTGTCATGATCGTTTCCAGGTCCGCATGAGCTGGGTCCGGGCTTGCAAAGACAGCGTCGAACACAGCATGCAAGAAGCGGCTTCCCGAGTACTCGACCCGCTGGATGTCGTCACCTGTCTGGATGAAGTTCTGGATCGTATTGAAGATGGGGACCCCGATCGCGAGCGTAGCCTCGGGATCGTACGTAAGCTCGTTCTTAATCGCTGTTAGTTGCATGGCGTTGTGCAATGCCGTTGAGACTGAGGAGACGTTGATGTTGGACGTCATGACGTGGACCTTGCGCTGTAGCCATTGCGGGTACAGGTCCTGTACATGGTGAAAGCTATTGGAGACATCAACGATGAGCCAGTGGGGCAGGTGGTCTACGCAAACGTGGTTCAAGAACTCGCTCCAGTCGAACGGCACGAACTCGTTCTTCCGAGTTGCCAAAGCTTCTTCAGTGATATCACCGTCAGTGTCTAGGAGCATCTGAGCTGACATGTGAGTTCCGATGGCACGTACGCGGATATCCACGTTGAAGCGCTGCTTGAGGAACTCGCGCTGCTGGTGGTATTGCTTCAGTAGTGCTATCCCAACGCTGTTGGTCTCGTTCTCTTCGAACTCGAGACCGACTACACCGATGGAAAGGGTCTGATCCGACAAGAAGAAGGACGAGTGTGCAGCCCGAAGCGCTGCAGCCGAATCTTCATAGCGAACTACTGCAGAAATGTTGCGCTCGGACGATCCCTGCGATATTGCCAAGACGTTGATCTTTGCACGGCCGAGTGCACCAAAGAAGCGAGCACAGACACCTGGAGTCTGGTTCATTTGATCTCCCACAGCGGCAATGATGCTAACGGGTGCAATGTACTCGGCCTGGTCAATGTGCCCCACGTGAATCTCTTTGAAGAACGTCTCGTTAATGACGTCTTTCGCGACCTCGGCACAATTCATGGGCACGGCAAAGCAGATCGAGTGCTCGGAACTGGCCTGGGCAATGAGCACGACATTGATCTTGACGCGATCCAGTGCACTGAAGAGCCGTGACGATGTACCGTGCACACCGACCATGCCGCTTCCTTCAATGTTAAACAATGCGAGATCATCTACCGTGGAGAACCCACTCACGATATTCCGTGCAGTGGGAGCACCATTGGACATGGAGCGATTGAGCTCGACCTTGTTGCGGTGAGAGATCTTCGTGCCCGGGTGGTCAGGTTCAAATGTATTCCGGATGTAGATGGGGATACCTTCGACAATGGCAGGCGCCATGGTCTTTGGATGGATCACCTTGGCACCAAAGTACGCTAGTTCCATTGCTTCCTGGTACGAGATCTCGGGTAAAATGCGCGACTCGGGCACACGACGTGGATCGGCACTCAATACACCGCTCACGTCCGTCCAAATTGTGACACTGCTAGCGTGCAAGATACGCCCGCAGATTGAAGCTGTAAAGTCGCTGCCGTCGCGCTTGAGAGTCGTCATGACACCTTCGACTGTACTGCAGATAAAACCCGTGACGACGAGGTGCGTACGTTCCTTGCCTTCTTGTCCATTCTTGACAATCTCGTGCATCTTCTGCATCGACAAGTCGTACTGCACGACTGGTCCGTGCTCATTGTTGGACTCGACCGTCAAAAAGTCACGGGCATCTACGAAACGAAAGCCGTGCTGCTTGCCGTTCACGTCCGTCTTTTCGCTCAAGACAGCCGTGAGGATCTTGGCCGACCAGATCTCGCCATGGCCAGAGATGAACTCGACCACGTTGTCGTTGCATGCTTGCATGATTGAGATGGAGCGAAGCAGCTCCGAGACCGACTGCAAGTCGCGCTCGATGTCCTTCTCAATGAGCTCACCAACGTCTCGAGGCAGCAGCGCACGCACGACATCGTGGTGTTTCTTGCGGATTGTAGCCAGAATCTCGTCGCATTCGATAGTGCAGCGCTGTTTGGCCAGCGTGAGCAGCGAAATAAGCAGGTCTGTGACCTTGGGCTTGCCACCGATAGCCGATACTACCACTGCAATGCGTGGATCCTTTAGCTTCGATACAATGTCCGCGACCTTGGCAAAGGAGTCGGCATTGCCTACAGACGTGCCGCCGAACTTGTGCACGACGAACTTGTTGGCGGTCATGTTATACTTGTCACGCGTGGGGGTATCTGATCTTTTCGCTGACTGACTGAATGACTGGTCCGACGCGATTGCGGCTGTTGAGGTTAAATGCCGACTTTCCTGAAGTAGTAGAACGGACATGCACGAGAATATGCGAGGAATTCCAGGAAAAAGCACGCAGCATGGAAAGCACGTGCCTACTGGAGTGATGTATGCCACATTGTTGTTTACAAAGTGGACACATGTTGCACCGCAGACGACTACTACTACATTATGTTAAATGGAAAGCTGGATGTGAGTTAATGTGTCAATCTAACTTGAGATGGCGACAATGTGCTCGATCTTCCTCTTGCTGTGGGCGATCCGGTTACCTGTGGTACTGGGAATTGCACGAGATATCGCCATCGACTAGCCACGCGCAGCTCCAAGTAGGCGAATGCTAGCACGCAAATCACCGTCATGCACGACGCCACGGCCACCCACTTGCCAAAGACAGCCCAGCCCAGCAGCGCGACCTGCGTGAGGAACAAGGACAACCCGAGTCGGAATAGATGGTACGCCATGATCCACTCGCGCTCGCACTTGCGCAGCCACCAGCCGTAAAACGGCGACACGACATCCAGCTCAAAGGACGACAGCGCGTGCACTTCGCCTTCCAGCGCGTGCGTCACAAACCGCGTCAGAGCGAGCAACAGCGCCGTGCATGTCAACATACACGTGAACATGACAATAAACTAGGAAAAACAACAACAACAACAGCAACAACAGCAACAACAACAACACTCTGTCAAACAACCCGCAACATTTACTACAGCCCAATCAACCAAATTCCCACAACCCCCACCACTGCCACCACCACAATGTTCCTCTTCAGACCGGAGCATTAAAAGTGCCAATCCAAGTAGTGGTGGAAACTCAACGGAATGGCCGTGGCTTTCCTACTACTACTGCTGCCTCTTCTGTTCCGCACCTCCATGCAGCAGACAGCTCCGTATGCGACAATCACCGGCTCGCTCGTCTCGTCTGCGATCTGGACTTCCACGATCGTGGACATGGTAAACCCCGTCAGAAGCGCCGACATCTGCGACACGGAAACGAGCTGTCGATGCCGCGCGTCAATGATGCGCTTCTCGTTCTCGAGCTTGAGCACGCGCCGCTCCCGCACCAGATCCGCGCGCCGCCACTCGTACTCGCGTCGGATCGCGTCTTCTCGCCACTGTTTCTCCTGTTCACGGTACAAAAGGTCTTCGTCGCGCCATTGCTTGGCGTTCTTGAGGTCGTACGAGCCAAACACGGCGTCGACGACGGCGGCCATAACGTCCTCGTCGCTGGGCAGTTAGTTATCAAGGCTTTATTGGCATCGGCCCGCAGGTCGAGTCCCTTGGGATACTGACACTTCGGCGCTGTGGCGGGGTCTCTATCCGGAGGACGTATACGCTGAAAAGAGCGGTGCAAAAAAGAGACACGCACTTATCAGATCTGAGGAGGTCGTCCACACGAGTGCGAACCCGCACGAACGTCTGCTCTTGTCGAGCATAACGACCGGGGCGCTTCATTCCAGCGTCAAAACAGTCGGTTGTGTTTGTCCACACACACACCCGCTGTGCGCGCCTCGTCCTTTTTCTCCCAATTCGACCACTTCCTTGCCTTTTCGAGGCCAATCTCGTGCAAAAGTGGCCAAATAAAGAGTCGACAGCTTTTTCGATCCGGTCCAACCCGTGTGTGGATTGAAGCCGCAGTGGTCCACCGCCCGCACACGTCGCTGCACCCCTCCGTCTCGAATCCTTTTGGAATAGGTAGGCGTCGAATAGAGATGCCCGCACGTACGAAGCTAACGTCTCAGCTGCTGGACATACAAACTTCAACATACCAAAGGGCCGGCCGGCCGGCCGGGCCTGACCCAAGCCGCTCCGGCACAGCAGACCCGCAGAGCCAAAGAAGGAAGACGATACAGTAGAAGGAAGAAGCGGAAGTCCTAGTACTAGATCAAGTAGCCAACCTCGTTCTCGAGCGCGTAGGCCGTCGGCTTAGTAGTTTGTATCCTGCATTTTCTACCATTGCCGCGTTTTTCTCTGCGCCCGTACAATGACCAAAAAGCGTCGCGCTTCTTCGTCCAGTACGAAGAAACCTTCGTCGTCTGCTGCTGCCGCTGCCATGAGCTCCTCGCCCTTCCCATACCCGTCCCCACCCCCTGCGACGCCCCCTCGACTGCCCCGCTCGAGCTTGGCTCGAGGATCTCCACTGCGCATTGGCGTAGCAGCCAGCACGCGCTCGCAGCTCAGCGTGTCGACGCTTCCGGTACTGTCACCGCCACTGAAAAAGCGCGTCATGGGGCGTCGTCACGCCAAAGCGGTCAAGCTCCAACTCCCCGATGATGATGATGATGAGGAGGAGGAGGAGGATACGGATGCTGCCAAGGGCGGCTACACTGACAAGGATGGCTACATTGACACAAAGAGCTACAACACCACGGAAGACGCGGAAAACAGCTGTTGCGGGTACGAGAGCGGGACGACCTCGCAAGTCGCTGAGGAGACGACGGTACAGCCCTTGAAGCCCGATCCGTATCTTCCCGAAGCCTATCAACGAGAGGCAACAGTGCTGCGACATGGCGACAGTTTCTACAACGCCATGTTGACACGGGTACGCCGCGACCTTTCGACAAGTTGAAGTTGAAGTTGCCCTTTGAACTCTGAAGCACGGGAGAGAGAGAGAGAGAGCGAGGGCCATCACAAGCGACTTGTGTGTTGGCTGATTGTGTCTTTGTGTCTGTACCCATGTTGATGCTATTGTAGGTGCGTATCCACCACAACTACAGCGAGTTCATTGCGTTGCAAGCGCTCGAGTTCCGCCAGGACTTTTACCTCTGGACACGTGCTGGACGTGTCGGATGTGCGGGGAAAACGACGCTCCAGCGCTTTTCAAGCGTCGAGAAAGCCGCGTTTGAGTTCTGTCTGCTGTTTTCGTCCAAGACCAATTGCGAGTGGAACGAACGCCATGCAGCGCTGCGCTTCCAGGAAGGCAGTTATACGTGGATTGAGCTGGACTATTCCATGGGCACGCCGTACTCCCAGTCGCTCACGAGCGCGCTGGCAGACAATCAAGGCGAGATGGACCACGCTGACAGTTTCCAAGACTTTGAGCTTGTCTCGGCGACGTCGTCACCGCTTCCGCCAGCTTCGGCTTCCAGTCGCAAACGTCGTCGCACGGCAGCGTGGAATGCCTATTTATCCTCTAGTTCCATTGCTGGTGTTGGTGCTGCTACTGCAACGAGCACGCAGCAGTCTCAAGGCAGTCAACCATGTGACTGGCTGTATGCAAACTCGGATGGTGATGCTGCTGCTGCTGCTTGTGCAAGTTTGATCGAGACTTCAACATGTGCATGTGTGGTTGCCCCGCCATCTCGATTGTCGACTGATGTGCAGGATTTTGTGACGCTCATTGCGGATCACAGCGAGCTGTCGTATGCACAGACGGTCACGGACGATGGAGCAGGGGACGCGGTTATGAAGCTGCCATTAGGTCGACTATCCAAGACCACCATCAAGCGCGTAAGTGGATGCTTGAGCTGTTTATTATTTAATCCTTGCTGTAATTGTGGTTGCTGTACTGTTGCCGATTTAGGGGTACGAGACCTTGGAAGAAATGTACGAAGCGTTGCGTGATCGACAAGTGTCTCGAGCCCAATTGACGAGTCTGAGCAGTCATTTCTACTCGCTCGTTCCACATCATTCGCGCTTGGAGGTGATTGATACAATGGTAAAACTCGGCAAGAAAGTGCAGCTGATGGCCGAAGTTGGTATCAGCGTGCGTGGAATCGCTCATGACCCGGTAGCACGACGGTGTGCCTCAAGAAACTATTTGGACGAGTGCTATGAGTTGTTGGAGTGCGAGCTACAACCTGTAAAGAGCTCGAATCCCGATTTCGCACTCATTCAGACGTACATTCGGAACTCAAACTGCTGCGGGCGAAAGCAAGATCGACTGCAGTTGTTGTCGGTGTTTCGCGTGGAAAAGAGCGAGCAGGAGACGCGTTTCGAGCCCTTCCGCAAATTCAGCAATCGTCGGGTAAGAGCATTGGATGCTTCGGACGGGTTTGCCGTGTCATTTTCAATTCGTTGTCACGATCTGAAGGTGCTAACTACTGCCGTGCTCGCTCTTCTTGCTGCATTGCTCAGATTCTATGGCACGGTAGTCACTTGGCAAACTGGTCGGGCATTTTATCGGAAGGGCTGCGAATCGCGCCTCCTGAAGTTGCATCAAATGGTCGAATCTTTGGCAAAGGGCTGTACTTTACCGACAAGGTGACGAAAGCACAGGCGTATTGCCACTGCCGCCCGACGAATGGCCACAATCAATGCGTGCTTGCCTTGAGTGAAGTAGCACTTGGTGCATGCAAGGAAATGTTGAACTCGGATGACAACGCGAAACAGTTTGTACACACGGGTTCTGGCGGAAGGGCGAACGAAGCGTATTTCCACAGCTGCAAAGGTGTTGGATCGTGCCGGCCGGACTCGAGCGGTGATGTCGTGGACACTCATGGTGCGATTTGGCCCTTGGGCAAATCAGTCCAGCCTGAGAAGCGTACGGGGCTCCACCACAGCGAGTACATTATTTACAACCCGAACCAGACACGCATGCGCTACGTCGTGCTCGCCGAGAGCCCATATTAGCTCGAAACTCTTTCCAGCAATCACGGACATATAGAGCTTATGGGCTTTTTTTTAGTTCACCGGGACATCATTGCAGACAAGAACGTGCTGCTCGGCTGCCGTTATGGAGGGGCTCTATACTATCGAGCCATGTGTAGGGAGTGTCGTTGTTCACCTCGGACAACTGCAGAAGTGCGTATGCAAATGTTACAACAATTCACTCTTAGTCAATTGCCAGTCGATGAGCCATGTTCAGCTGGACATATTCACAAGCAAAAGCTGTAAGCATCGAGCACCAGCTGTAAAGTCATTAGGTAAGCCAGAGCATGCCTATTCGTTTCAAAGTAGTTGCTTGCATTGTGCTTGCGCTTAACGAGTGATGGCTATAGCGGTGACCATCACCCCACTACACTTCGTTTCGACCTTCTTACTGCGACTTCTTGGCACGCGTCGTAATTGCATTCAGACGCTCCACGAGAGGCGGGTGGCTGTAGTGGTAGGCACTGTACAGCGTGTCCGGGTTCATGTTGGACAGATTCTCGATCGCAAGCTTTGTGAGTCCCGACTTCAACGCAGCGTCAAATCCAAGGTCCACTGCAAATGCATCCGCCTGAAACTCGTTCTTGCGCGTGTTCAAAGTGATCAGGAACGACAGCACGTGCTCGACTGGAGCCCACATGGTCTGCGAAAACAGCAGAAACCCGATAATCACAGGCTTGGCCGAGTCACCCGCGAACCCAAAGCTCGCGAAAAGCTCAGCGTTGTTCATGCAGAGGCCAAACATATAAAACGAGGCCAAAGTGTACACTTGCTGGATCACAAAGCCCTGGGCAGTGTGCCATAGCTGCCAGTGTCCAAGCTCGTGACCCAGAATTGCAACAATCTCGTCATGCGTTGCTTGCTCCAAGAGCGTGTCAAACAGCACAATGCGCTTGCTCTTAAAAAGCCCGAAGAAGTAAGCATTGCTATGGCTCGAGCGCTTGGAGCCGTCTGTGACAAAGAGCTTGGTCAGCGGGAACTTCAGACTCGCTGCCAGTGCTTCAATCCGCGTGCGGAGTTCGCCTTCTTCCAGTGGCGTGAACTTGTTGAACAGCGGCATAATCAGCACGGGGTAGAGCGTCATCATGACGACGGAAAAGACAAAGAGGAAGGCCCAGACGTACATGTAAAAGTACTCGCCTCCCCACCGGATCACGTAGATCAGCACTGCCGTCACAGGGTACCCGATGGCAACAAAAAGCCCAAAGCCCTTGAGCTTGTCCATGAGAAAGAGTCCAAGCGTCTGTTTATTGAACCCGTGACGAGCTTCCACCACAAACGTCGAGTACAAGCCGAAAGGAATGTCCACAATGGTATCCCGCACACTCGTGAGCGTCAACAGCATCAGAGCGCGGTAGATCTCGTGCTCCGTCCCTAGACCTAAAGCCGTTAAAGCTTGACCACTCAGTGTCCACATAAAAGGAAGATACCCAAGGACAAGTAACAGCGTGGCTTCCAGTTGCTTGTACGCGCCACTCAGCAAGCCAAAGGTGCTCTTATCCAGGCCATAAGCTCGACTGGAATCGAATTTCGCCACAGTTGCAGCAAGCAATGAGGTTTCTGGTTCGGTTCGTGCGGAGCTTGTGGCGTGGTCCGATTTGTCCTCCGCTAAGTATCGCTTTGACTTGACAGAAGTATACTGCCCCAACCCTTGAATCGCTTCTTTTAAAGGCTCGGGAAAACATGTCTCGTGCAGTTTTCGGTGCTGACGGACATCGAGGTACGTCTCGAACAAGTATACGACGGTCATGAATACCAGAGCACCTTGGAAGTAAGGGATGAGGCTCGTGCTTGGGCGCCAGCCAAGCTCAGTGTAGCATGGCGAGGTGAGAAGCTGCGCCCACGAAAAGCTCATGGCTAAACGAACTTTACCGTCACGAATGGTTGGAAAGAGAGGCGCGCTATTTATTCGATTAGGACGCGTGTTCTCGGGTATTGTTATTTACACCCTAGTTTTGGCTAAATACACCCCACACCCCACACCCCTCCTACACCACAATGTAATTGTACAACACAGATAGCACTTACCCACCTCTGTACGACCACTAACGCACAACAATCTGCACCTGTCGTTTAAAAAACAAATGATTGACCAAGTAAACTTCTGTTAGCACGCAATAGACGACTGAAGCTCTTTGTTTTCGTTAAAGGAATTGACCAAAGACCACGAAACACTCGTCACCACATGTTGCCTACAATTGGGTTGCTATTTGTACCTATAAGAAACAGCCATAGCCATGTTTCAGTCGAGAAACACAAAAATGAGTGATCCATAGGTTCACGTTACACCGAACGTAATCGGACACATACGTCACAGGATCAAAATACGTCTGAAAACGATGAGCTGTATGATGTATCTACACGACTTTTGGTCAAGTTTATCCTGGATCTGCGTTAGGATCAGGCCGTTGTCTGTCAAAGACAGATTGATTGTCCAGTTGCTCGACACACATCCGGTCTCCATCGTCCGCTTTTGTGTGTAAGGTTAATTGTAAGATGTCTCACTACGTATTTTGTATTCCTTCTGATTTCTTTTAGACCCGAAAGAGCAATCTCGTCAAAGTTTAAATTACCAGAACGACATACGACGAGCTGACGTCGTAATCTTCACCCTGCAAGATGTTACAAACGTGCGATAGTTCGATTTTCTTCGCGATTTTTGCTCACTTGTGCTTCGTAATGCCGATTTAAGTTTCGGTTCTGTAGCGGGCGACTAAGACAGAGTGATGGTTGCATGCATTAATCTGGTTTTCGATCGACGCTATGTCCATGTCGCGGATACGAGATAGACTAGTAAAATCAATTTTTATTTGAACGATTGATGCAGATTATTGTGCGTTTGCGGTCGTACAGCGAAGGGTTGGCGCTGTATTGGTCATGCAATTACATTGTGATGTTGGAATGGTGTGGTGCTTGGGGTATATTTAGTCAAAAGTGGGGTGGATATAACGATACCTTATTGCTATCGTGAGAACTGGTTTTCGTCAATTTAACGAGAGGATGTGAAGTCGTCAAGGATACGAATCGGATGCTGTTCGACAGGTTTGTTGCTGTCGAGATATTTGGAGTGAAAATGGATGTTGAAGGTGCATGTCTTTGCTGTTTAGTTATATTTGATGGTATGCGATTCGGAGAAAATGAACGTGCTACCTCGAATGGAGAGGTTGTGACCGAAAATAAGGTGTGGGGCTGGATCGTCGACCCGAGGCATTTGAAACAGTTGGTACAACCTGAGTGTTAGCAGAATTAGCGCTGCTGCGCCTCTCGTCTATTCTATTCCATCTACGATGATGGATCAAAAAGTGGTTGATGTCAAGGCGATGCGTGAATGTTGTGGAAGAAAATCGATACGTCTTGTGTAGCGCATTTGCGTATCAGGAGCTCTTGTAGTTTATTCATTCGCCTGAATGTTGTTCCTTTATGTAAACTTGAATTGGTGCAAAGGCGATAACGTCGCTCAGAATCGTAGTCAACCACTTCCTTGAATCACGCACGTTGCTTCCTCAAGTGACAATGGGATGTTGCAACAGGACAGCCCAGTTTTCCAGGGGTTGCTACGCAGTGTGTCGTAATGCAATGGTTTTTATGTGTCATTATATACCAGCTGCCATCTACCGAAGTAAACATTACAGCATGCTCTACAATGTACATTATGTCGGACAGTGCTGCAGTTTTGCACAGCAAAAGTTGTGCTGCGTAACACTTATTGAATTTGACTACAAGTATGCAGGTAGACGGGGGTCACGGAAGAGCTGATTGAAATGGCATGATTGATCATTATTTGCACCTGCCGCTAAGAATGCAGGAGCTCACTTGATGTGTGTGTATGTGAATGTAATGAACACGCGGCAGCTGTTGGCGACGCAGACAATTTTATACATATACTTGAGAACGAGATTGTGAATGCATTCGAATAGCGACATCGACTTGCGCTGCGGATGTGTTAGTACAAACAAAAGTACGAGGAATTCGTATACATTTGTTTACGCTACAGCAGACAATAAGTTGGTCTTGTACGGAGCTACTGTTGCTTTGATGCCACAACAGCTTAGTTTTCTCGATGTCAATTTCTTTGTTGTTTGAATCGCACGGACAAATGTTAGTGGACACTCAGACTTTACTCGACGTCCAAGTATGAAACGGCGTCTTTGAACGAGGCATGACTTCCACGGAAGCAGAGGTTCTCTGCACACGAGAAACAAAACCACTTCATTTTTTTCTAACAGATATAGCTGCAGCACGATCCAGCTTGTCTATGGCAGCAATTGCTACAACAATGCAGCTGTAGGCGTAAAATTGTCTTACATCAGGACATAATTCGAGCGAGGGAACTACCGTGTTAACTGATTGCCCACCTTCAATCCAATCTCACCAAATGCGGTACCTTTTGGACTTCGTAAAAGCTTGGCTGCTTTCTGCAGGCGCACTTCTCAGTAGTAGTCGATCCTATGCGGACACGTCACGATTGCATTACGTACGAATTACGCCACCATATCTAAACGCCAGCACGTGCAGGTTATAAACGCATGCTCAAGGTAGAAGACCTGTCAGTCGACGGCAAATGCTTCACCACCACTATGCATGCGCTGGCAGATAACTCGCGATGCGTTTTTCTAAGTCCAAACAAGGAACGCGCAGTCGTCTTGAGGATGGCCAATGGAGAAGATAAAACTGAGAAACTAGGTAGTAGCCTCAGCGTTAACATCTCGGACGAGTGTAATGACGCTGTAACCACGGACATGATCATTCATCCGCTCGCTCGCAAAGGCACCCCTGAGCAGGGGATCTTAAATTTCTACCTAATCAGAGCATTGAGCCTAACGAAGGGATCGTTCGCAGGCTCATTTTTGCTGATCGCTAGATATTCAAATCAAAGGCCAATGTATCGAGCCCGACAAGAAGCTGGATCGCCTGGAAATGGTCTTTTTTGATGCGCGACGTATCTGCGGATAACACGCCCTTTTTTTCTTTAAATAAATTCCTTTCTACTCTTTGGCTTTGCCACAATTGTGCTTGCCTATTACTCTTTACAATTTGTTCCTTCTATATTGGTTGATCTGCTTCCCTTGTTCCGTGTACGTTACTGTCAGTCGCTGTGGCTACCTATTACGGATATCAAGCTGACGCCAGAATGGCTGCGATTCAGGCCTTCCCATTTAGGCCAGGTTTATTTATACGATGCCGCAGTTTTTATCCTGCGGTACAAAAAGGTACAAAACCGCCCAGATCTCTGGTCGATACCGATAATTGCAACCTCAAAAGCTGTTTTCATTTATTTTGGCACCTATTTAGGCTTTTTCATCACGTAAACTAATTGAGATAATCTTATCTGGTTTCACATCGCACGATTTCACTACTTAAAATAAAATGAAAGTCGAGTTTCGTTCTGTATTTTGCTTAAAAATTGTACGAAATTTTATGTAATATTCTCTGAGTATGTCTTTAAGCAACATTTAAGCGTTGCGGCTGGAGGTCGTAATTCAATCATTCTGCACTTGTCTAATGGCTATAGACGCTATCATGCATCTGCCCTGCCGTTTGTTAACGGCATTCATATCTTTTTTGTGGGGAAATACTGGCTCAGCAATTGCTTGCTGTAATCGGGACAACGATGCGACTGTAATTTATCTCACTGCGCCAGTCCATGTGAAGGTGAATGCGCCCATCACGCCGAGGCCAATGGAGCTGAGGTGTTTCAGTAGAATTGATGAACTATAGCCGAGACGACAAGGACGGGGGCCGGAGTCTCTAGAAGTTTTTCAATTCGTAACTGATGCTGTCTCCGCGATGCTAGTGATAAGGTGAATTTAATAAGGAAGACGTCTATATCTAATTGAGCGTAGATAAACCAGCATATTGACCCGCAGAAGTTTGTGTAGTATAGGTTTTTCATACTATGTATCCCTCCTGTTGGATGATTGTGAAAGTCGTAATTTGTCGAACTAATGCATGTCGAGTTATGTCTCGGGAAGTTAAGCTCGTCGAGATGGGACTCGCCGAGATAAGACTCGTCAAGATGAAATTTTTTGAGATGAGACGTATCAAGACAAGACTCGTCGAGATGGGACATAACGAGATGAGACTTAACGAGACGAGACTTATCGAGATAAGACTCGTCGAGATGGGACTTTACGAGATGAGACTTATGGAGATAAGACTCAACGAGATGAGACGTATCGAGATAGGACTTTTCGAGATGGGACTCGTCGAGTCGGACTCGTCGAGTTTCAAATCCAGCCAAGCAGCTGGAAGATAGAACATTTAAGTCAATAAATAATTGAATGGGAGGAGTGGGGGGAGAAGCGGTCGGGGAACGAGAGCCATCCAATAGGCTCTGTCAAGCAGAGACAGAGATAATTAAATACAAAGAAGAATTTTCCAAGTCCCAGACACGTGTACACTTTTCCGGTAAGTCCCTGCGCGTGCTAGATCATGCCTGCCGCCGAACCTCGAGAGGCATAGCTTGTAGAGGTTTCGACTGGAAGCGCCAAGAGTTCGAGTCGGCCCGGGGTTAGCAATACTCATTTTCAGCAAAAGAAAGAGCCCCGCCGGCGGCAAGCCGGTCAACCTGATAGATGGCACCACTAAAGTCTTGTCGATGACAAGCCGGTCAGTCGAATAGATGTTACCGTCGAATCTTTGCCGAGTGACAAGCCGGTCAATCCAATAGATGGTTTTGCTAAAGTTTCGTCGAGTAACAAGCAGGTAACCCCAGTAGATGGTACCGTTTAAGTCTCAACGAGCGGCGATCAAGCGATACAGTAGACGACACTGCATTTAGACTTGTCGAGCGACGAGCCGGTGGATTTTTAATCAAGGGAATTGCAATCTTCTAGACGAGCGTACATTGCGCTC